AAATATACTCTGGATCATGGGCTCTGTTTGCTTTCATGCCTATCTTGTATCGCACAGTAACACTTCCATGCTAAAATAGATTTAAATCAAATAAATATATGGCTCTTGCCCATTTTTCACACTAAGTATAGATATAATCTAGTGCAAAGAACCTTTGTGATGTGTTATTTGCATTGATATTGTTTTGGTTCAGGCTGCTGGCAGCTCACATCTTCTTAGGTAAGAGAAAGGAGGCTGGGAGGGACAAGAGAAATTCTTTGTTCCACTTTGGTAGTGCCAGAGAGAAACCAATTCCCCGGGTAAAATAAGAAATAAAAAAATCCATACTTTTCCAAGTTTTGTTTTTATAGTGTTCAAAAATCCATGCAGGATGTTATGTCATACATACTGCCCAATTCTATAGTGCAAGCCCTCAGTTTCAGGAAAAAATGATACCCTGTTTGTCTTGAAATGTTGGTGTGTTGATGGCTAGGCTGGGAATAGTGCTTCAGGAACCTATCACAAGCATGCTTTTTCTGGAGCTTACTTCTCTTAATTTATGCTTGTACAGTGATTTTTTTTTTTTTTTTTTTTTTTTTCTCCTCTACTTAATGCTGATTTGTACTCAGTTTGTCATAGTGAGAGTAACTTGAGAGCAAATGAGGTCTCCTGAGTTTTTAATGCTGAACTGTCCCTGGAGGGATAGCTGCAATAATCTGTACCTGCCTTTGCATTTCCAGTTACTATTGTGCTGGCATGAATATTGTCATCCTCTGTTGCTCACACAGCAGTACCTATGTGACAGCAGCTTCTGGAGTCACCATAAAACACAATTTTAACTTGGACACAAACCAATATGAATTAAGGCATAAAACCAGACAGACTTTTAGTGTTCTGTCAAAATAAGTCATGTTTCAGTTGTGTCTGTGTTTGATCCAAGGAGCGTGCTGACAGTCTGAGGGAATTGCTCCCTGCTCTGGCTGGGGGGTTTGCTTGGGAAGCAGTGCTGGCTCTTCAGCTACTGGGAGTGGGTGACAGCAGGGGAGGGATGGGTGGGGAAGTGGGTGAACCTGCTTAAGTAGTTAGTTAGGACCCTCTCTTCCCAAGACCATCATCCCATGTCCCAGAACGGGACTTCCCTGAGGGAGGCTCACATGCTGCCTGAGGAAGCACTTAGCTGTCTCCGTAGAGGTGTACTGGGGAGGGTACAACACAGTGTGTTGCTTTGCCGTATCTCTTGGCACTTTGCAGCTCTGTGGAGGACTAAAAACTAACATGTCCCTACCCTGTTTCTGTCTGGACTAGTATCTTTGTCAGTGAACCTTGGTTTGAGTTCTGATTATTCACTCAGCAGTGATTACAGGATCCTCTATGCTTCCCCGCCCCACTGCCATTTGCAGAGGGGGGCATAAACTACATCATGCCAATGTCTATTCCTCCATACCTATTAAATTACCTTGCAACCTGACCAATAGGCTCCTAAATTGCTTATTTTGCTTGCCAATTCTATTCTCCACTGGTACTATCTCAGGGTTGTACCACCTTTCAGCTTCCACCTAAACTGTGATTATACTTCCTTCCTCCTTCTACCTACTCCCCCAATTATTCTCTTCACTTTCAATACTCCAAATGACATGGCTGTCATCTCTGCCTGAGTGCTCTGACAAGGAGTGACTCATGTGTGGAGCCTTAACTTGCACACAAGATCAGATGATTCAGCTTTGTGCCTACCATCCAGCCAATATTGAAGGACTAGGGATGATAAAAATCAGCTGCTGTTCTGGAAGATGGCAATTTAGGAGGCTCATCTTCCATTAGTGGGGAAGTTAGTGCTTCAGAAAGCCTGGCAGTGATCATTTAACTGTTCTTATAGCCTAATCCACAACACTTAGTGCTAAATGCTCACTGGAGTATCTCCCCAGTGAAAAAAGCTCAGACCAGTTCAGATGATATTTATATTTAGTGGGGTCCCTGGCTAATTTCCCATGATGGAGGGGAAGCTGCTACTTACAGACTGCACCTCAGGAGAACTTAACTGAAATAGCTTAACTCTACTGAAAGCTTCTCCAGGAGGGAGTTGTTTTCCTTTCTGAATTCAAGCAATACATTAAAATGGACAAATGCACGCGTGGTGTGAGGCGGGTAGCAGAGGGCCCCAAGAATGTCATGCTCAGCATCTGGCTCACAGGAGGTTGATCAGCCAACATTAGTGAAGAAGAAATCTGACAGGTTTGCTAGCATACTTTCAAAATTCCGCTAATGCTGCTGTACATTGTGGCTATATGTGTCCTAGTGAACAGGGAAAATGCTGCTTTTGCCATATTAGGCTTTTTTTACAGCACTTTCTTTGAAGTTTTACTGCTCAGCCACAAAGATGCACTTAGCATAATGAGATACTCCTCACTTCTCTGCTGAATGCATGTCAGAAAAGCAGAGGCAAGATGGAATGAGTGCACTCAGCTTTTGGCACAGTTCTGGCTTGTACAGCATTCATTCCTTTATTGTAGCAAAGTACTTGTCTTGATAGTGCTGGATTATGCAGGGGGGGGTGTGTGGTGATGAACCTTCAAAAGGAAAGATACCCTAGGTATTAATACCTTTGAATGCATCTTAAGCACTGGGTAAATTGCCGTAACTCACAAAAGGATGTATCTTAGGGTCCTTGTGTTTTCAGTGTAATACTAAATCAAGACGACAAGAACATCATCAGGTGGTGTAACAGAAAACACAGATAGTGTGTTCTCATTCCTTCACTTTGCCTCAGTAAGAGTTCTAAGACCTTTCAGTTAGGTATTGTGCAACTTCCAAACAGATGTTCTCTCACCTAGGTGCTAGCTTTCTGACTTAGCAGCTGTTAATTTCAGGCTTGCATGCAAGTGTCTTACCATGACCAGGCCAAGCCCTATACTGCATGTGTTGTATAATTTCCTTGCTCTAGAGTCAGCTTTGTGATTATTTTCCCTTCTGTGCCTGACATTAGTGCTAGTACCATCCTTGATTTCTCAACCTTCTGCTAGGCAAGAGGACTAAGGCTCAAAAGGCTCCCTGGATTCCAGTTGCAAAAAGGCCACTAACAGATGGGAAACTTTGAGACTGAGTTGTGAGTGGTCTCCAGGGAATTTCTGTGAAGATGACAAAAAGCCCTTTCCGAGTATAAGGGAGCTAAAATATTATGACTTGCCAGGCTTCTTAATAAAGTGGCTGGATAAGTGTGCCTGTGTGTGGAAATCTTACTTTAACCTTATTTCAGGGAGCAGTTGGCTGAGATTTTAGTTAAAATTCAAAACTGCCTGTGATACATCAAATAGAAAAACTTTAAATTTGGAACCTTAACGGTTGACTAAGCATTAAACAAAAAAATAGGAGTTTCATGACAAGCAATGGCTAAGCAGCCTAAGCTCTAATTCTCCAAGAATTCATGTATGTTATGTTATTGCTATCATAACATAACATACATGCAGAAAAGATTTTTTTTTCTGTGTTTCTTCACTACCAAAGTGTTAGATAACTTTCATTTTACTGTTTTGCCAAGGACTCACTCAGCTCCTGTTACAAATGCTGTCACTGTGTCTGTTTATGCTATGTGGTATAGTATGTGGTACAGCTGCATGGTGAATAAAAAGGCAAAACAAGTAACAGACAAACTTCCATGCCATAATCATGTATTAGCCAAATGGGATACTTCAGGTTTTGAATGTTTGGTAGGAGTCATGTATGTGCTTAAAAGGATAAAATTCATACATTGGGATTGTAAGGTCAACTAATAGCAAATGGCAGAAGATGCTTAGCCTATAGCAAGGTTTTGCTATGGTAAATTTTCAACTTCCTCATTTAGTGTGGTAATAAAATTAATGTTTGACATGAAAACTGTGTAATATTATTTGGATGTCAGAAGAATGAAGCGGGGTAGAAAAGATTATATATTCTAGAGAAACATAACAAACTTGCTCTGAATGCCTCACCTGCCATTAGTACCTTCTGATTTACATTTGAGATTTGGCGTTTTGCAAAACATTTTATATTCCTAGCTTAAGTGGATGAGTAATCTGAAACTAAGTCTTGTTTTTATTATATCCATCCTACAGATAGAGTTATTCTTTATAATTAGACAGGATAGGAAAAGTTTAAGATCTTTAAAAAAAGAATACTTTGACAAAATATTTTCTTTGGTCCCAGCTCAGACTACCCACATAAATGACTGTTAGGTGAGGATAAACAGTTTAAGTCCATAAGAGCTCTGCATGCAACTTCAAGATTGGTATGTCTCTCTGGGTCTGCCCATTTTAAAAATGAGAAATTTGCTTCTCATTGTATACTTGTTTTTCTTCAGGGAAAGAAAAAAATTTCTTATTGCAACTTGCTATTTTTAGTGTGGCTTTTCTTTACAGCTCCTTTTTCCTAGCTGAAAGCCTATAATTTCCCTGTGATATTCAGTGCTTATTTTGAGATAAAATGCAGTGTTTCATATAAAATATCATGGAAATTCTGATGTATGAAAAAGCAGATAAAATACTTTAAGTGTAAGTTCTACTACCTTAATTCATAAATGTCCTCAGTGTTTGTACTTTGTATTATACAGACTGAACACTTCTGCTTACGTAGGAAACTGAAATGTAGTGCAAAACGAAGTTAAAACATACCTTAAAACAATTTCCAATAAGTTAATGATGGTCTAATGAAATCTGGTGCTGTGAAAAAGGCTGTTTTGCCTGTGGCATTTATCTTGGTGAACCCAGGTGCTGCAGTTTGTTAGTGATGGCTTCTGCCCTTCTGCCTGTCATGTACTTGAGCCTCAGTCTGGAGGTTAGTGCTTGACTCTTGCTAAAGCCTCACTCTTTTTCTGGAAGAGAAAACAAAAATGAGCCCTGAGGCAATGAATTGCAGACGTATATCCTTCATGTCTAATCTGCTGAAATGCATGATGCTATGATAAAGTATTTCTGAAATTCACAGCAAAATGGGAGAACAGATTGCCCCTTTTTAGATTAAATGACCCCTTATCTTACAATATTTCCCTGTAGGTCATACTTTTGAGCCCTCTGATCTTTACCGTGACTTCCTGTGGAGTTCCTGCACTGGATCCAAAGCTGTGTTGAATTAAACCAACCAAATGCCACAAATGAAATGAGCCCTGAGTACTGAACAGCATGGAGGTATTTTGTGTGTTCTGTAAACTACTGTCCTGCTTATGTGCTAGTGGGCTGACTGCTGCTTTTGTATGTCAAGCTGCTGTGGCCTCCTGTTCAGCAGGTACCTTTGTACAAAACCCCACATCCTTGGCCACAGCACTGCCACACAGTCAGTGGCTCCCTTGATTTTTTTCCTGCCTCACTGCATACTGCTGGGCCTGTTGAACAGCAGTTTGGTTTTAAGCTGGTTTCCACAGGAAATGGTCTTTTGCAACCAAAGTGCCTGGCTGGCACTCAAACCACTTTCTCTGCTGTTGCTTCCTACGAAAATATTACTTTTCATTAACGCAGAGGTCACTTGTGACCTCTTCCTGCCCTCATGCTACTTCACATGCCCTACTTATTTCTTTAAAATAGCTGCTAATAGCACTTCACTGAGTTGGGAATGTTCACAGTTGATCTTTTTACAGGTTTTTTTTAAGCAAGAACAATTTGTCTTGGTCAACAGCTTTTTCTGATCCCCCGAGTCATAGGATAATCCAGGCATTTGTCTCTTCCTTATTTTTAAGACACTTAGAGAATGCTATTTTTGCCATTCTTCAGATGGCTGGACTTTGCTAGCAGGATTTTCTAATTTTTCAGCAGACCAGAGATGCTATCATTTTCCAAGGTCTCCAAGAAATTTCTGTAGTTGACCCATTATTGAGTATAGAGCTCGGGACAAAGGAAGAACAAATTTTTTAGCACTTAACACATTAAATTTCCTTTTTCCAGGGCAACATGCTTCTGTTCGTGTCGCTGGAAGTTCCTTATCTTTGTTTCAGCTTCTAAAGCCTCAGAGGATTATGTGATGAGATTTCACACACAGAAATCAAGATAACAAAAACAGATGGTTGTACACAAAGGTTAAGCAGTGTTGGCTGGCTCCAGTGGTTACTAGACTTCCTCCCTGTGGCCAACACAAAACTAATTGCATATACTTCATAACTACCTTGAATTGTAAGAATGGTAAATTGATTATCCATATCCAATGGTGTGAGATTGTCCTGGCTGTGCCATGAGACTTTATACTGCATATTTGTATACAGGTGTTGTTACTGGGATTCCAACAGTGTATGAGCCTTGTGTGTTTAAAAACCCAGTGTAGGGGACGGGGCAATTTTTCACTAGTGGAGGCTCTTGCTTTACTACTTTGAAGATTTTCCTCTCGTATATTAAATGAAGGAGGGATGCCATGCCCTCATCAAATTACCGTGTGGAGGAAATTACTTTTATTTATCATCTTGTAATATTTATACATTGCATTATTTTTTTTCCTTTTCTTAGATGACTTATGTTTCTGCCTTCTGCACCTCTTGATTATTTATCACTGTCTGGTTTATCCAGCAAGTACCTTGTGAAAACACAAGGCACTGCCTTCATTTCTCCTTCCAGCCAATCTTCTTCCACTTCTGTTTAAATATATCAAAAATCCATTTTCCATTTCCTGTAAGCTAAGGTATTTGTATAGCAAACTTACTGTTTGCTACAGCCACAATGATACAAAATTTCATTAGTGTAACTGTGATCAGACTACATAAGACAAACAGGCACAGCTCCAGTTTTGCCTTGAGGCTGTTTGCAAATTCTTGTTTATCAGTTACAAAGGAAAATTATTCCAGAGTTCGTTATGGAAAAGATTGAAAGCTGTTGCTTTACAGTACATTGTCAGAAAATGAAAGTCCAAAATATATATGCAAAAAATAATTATAAGATTATTCTTCCTGCTTTTTGTGTGAGAAGATATCACTTCAGTTGTCTTATAATTCCTTCATTAAGTAATTAATTCACTAGAATACTGTCCTTGCACAGGAATGACCCACAAGGGTTTGTACTCCTGGGTCCAAACCACTCATATTAGTACCACCTGCATAACAGTTGGCACTTGTAAAAACCCCAGAAAAAGCCTGTGAATGGCTGTGTATGTTAAGGTGCAAAACTGCAATAAAATCTGAGCAGTGGATCCTACTTCCCTGTTCCAGCACAGAGCAACAATGGTTCTCTGCCGTGGTATGGCCAAGGACTTCTCCCTCATACTGTCAGAGACCCCTCAAAAAGCCAAACTGCAGCAGGTAAGGAAGGAAAGCCACCTCTACCTCACCTGAAAGGCTGCTTTGAGACAGTATGGGCCCTATTGGTCCTGGGGAGTGGGAGCACAGCCTGACTCAAAAGCCATCTATCCCAAGCTGGGCTGTCTGTCTTAAAGCGCTGACTCTGTCAAGCAAAGGATTGCAGAAGAAAAGTGGTGCTAATTTCCAACAATAATAATAATGAAGAACAGAATTGTGGCAGTTCTATTTGCAGAGAAACACTGGAGAACATGCACTTAGGTGTAACCTCAGAGAAGCTAAACCAAAGGAGCCAAATACATGTTTATTTTTGTTAAAGGATGAGAAGGGGCTGAGGGCCTGACTTTTTCCAAACTCTTGGAACTGGGTGTATTGCTGCTCTTTGCCAAAATTTTTAAGACTGGGTGGGACACCTACCAAGAGCACAAGCCTTGCTCTTACTCTGCATAAAGCAGAATGTCCATTTTCTTGCACAGCTGCATTTACCATCTGAAATGCAGCAATGAGTCTAGGGTAGCTCCATCCGTGGCTCCGTTTGCTCCCAACATGTAACACGTGTTGGATTTCCAGCACCATCTGCTCCATTCCTGGCTATTTCATTTCCCCTGTGTTAAACCAAGCTCCTTGCTTACTCTCATCACTAGCCATCAGGAAAAGAAGGCTGGAACGCAAGGCCCCTCACATTTCTAACTTGATTAATACCAGTGGTTGCCAGGCTCAGAACCAACTTGGAGCTACAGAGTGTTAGATGCCTTATTCCAGATTTGGGGCTTGTCCAGCCCAGCCATGCCAAGCTGGGCACCCTGCTGCCTTTCCCAGTGAAGGATGATCTTGTGGTAAGCTCTGCTTCTCACCTAGATGGTCATCTCCCTGGGCAGGGAGAGCTTGGGCTCCTGTTCCTTACTGCCCTGAGAAACTAGCTGTGGGAAGATGAGGAAAGTGAGCAACAATAAGGCAATTTCTTATCACAGGTCCAAAGGGAGTGTGGGAGATGCTGAGCTTTAAATGGAGCTTTAGGGACGCAGCGTCTCCTGGGATTTATAAAACACAGCTCCAGATCTGTGATTAAACAAACAGTGTAAACTACTATTGTCAAATATCTCTATTTGAATTCTGCCGACGCTCTTAATCTCAGGCATGTTTGTATGCGAATGCTTCAGTGCCTGCTATCTTGAGTGAATAGTAAAACTGGCATTAAAACACTTTCCACAGCAATTGACTCTGATCTCTGGCTAGTTAAAGCATTTGGCACATGATACGTTTGAATAAAAATATTTTCAATCATTTTGAAAACATGTTGAATAAAACCAATAAACATAAACAAACAAACTTTCTCCATAAGGGCAGCCAAAGGGAATATACAGCTATTACAGCTAGCTTGTATATACTGCTTTGTTAATGCATACAAATGGCTGTTTTTTTTGAGACGTTTCAGATGCTTGTCTACCTACCTTAATGTGCAGGCATTTAAATGAATATGTAAAAACAGAGACCTATTACAAACATTGTACTGCTGTGGAGTTCTAAAAAGGCAGAAGACACCAGATTATGACTTTTTTTTCACTACTCTGCTTGTTCCAAACCTGAGGCATATCAGAATAAATATTTTTTTACTGCACTTGCTACCTGGAAGTAAAACACTGCAGAGGCTTTGATGTTATTGAATTTCACTGATGAGCAAAATACAGAAAAGCTGCAATGCTTTCCTGAGGATTACGTGTGAGTAAATACATCAAGGAACAACAGGCAGAGACTGAAGGTAAATTAGAAACGGTTTTGAGTAAAACCCAGCAAGAAGAATGAAGAAAAACCACCTGCCCTTTTTAGTGTTGGTACCTAACGCTCATTTTCTTTTCCTGGGGAGAGGGCTGCCCTACACGGTGTGACAACAGAATGTCACCTTCCATCGTTACTCCACGGATACAGAAAAACCAGCACATGCCTCATCATTAGGTGTCAGGGGAGGCAGCTGAAACCCTACCTGCACAAAGAAGGGCCCACTCCAAGTTTCGTTTCCTAAGGAAAGAGATGTAGCCAGCACTTTCATTCCCCCACACACAAGCTCATCAAGATTTGGATACTTCTGCCTTAATTTAAATTCCATTAATACTAAGGAATTTGTAAGTGTCCTAAAGGGACTTGCACCCATACGTTAATTTTATGTCTTCTGCTACCAATTAATTTTGCTGTTCTTTTAAGTCAAGAGCACCTCCATCCCCCTGCCTCTTTCAGTGTCTCCATCTGGTAGATAAAATCAATGTGGAGAAAAAAATTCTGAATGCTGTTTCTAAGTCAAGTTATCTGGTGTCAGCTCTAAATGTCAGGATGCCAGGGTTGGCCTGTTAAGCAGACTGATACCATTTCTATGTGAGTTATGTAATATACACATTAGAAGTTTGTCACAGTTAAGATTTGATTTAGAATTTTGGTGCAGCGCCTTTGTCGTCCCTACTCAGGGGAGATCCTGGTGTGCAGCCTGCCGCTGTGCAGGAGAGCTCAAGGGGCCCTGGGCTGTCTACTATGGATGGAGTAAGATAATTGACTTTTTCCATACAGACTACAGACGCTAGTTTCTTCTAAATTTAGCTTGAGTCGGACATTGACCAGCACCATGGTTAGGTGGGCTCAATGTTCAAATTAGCTGTTGTGTTGTTGCCTGTCTCCCCCGAATCCACTCTGAATCGGATGCAGCCACCACGACCAGTCGCATCCATTCTGACTGCCACTGGTGGTTATCACTTGGATAAAGTTATGGGAAATACAGGTCAGGGTGGGGGGAGCACACCGCCACAGTCTCATATAACTATAAGATCTACAGGGCAAGAGAACAGATGGTGGCCTACAAAGTTAATATCAATCAGTTAAGTTTGGAAGTAAGTTTGGGGCGTATCAATTCTGCACCTGCCTTAAACTGATTCTTTCAGCTCCATCAAGCAGTGGAATAAAAAGTCTTGCATCCCTTACATTCAAGCCATCGCACCAGCAAAAGCATTGCTGCTACAACACAGCAGGCATAGATACTTGTAGCTTGAAATGGAGATGATACAATATCAAGAAAGTTCAGACTTGAAAAAAGTCTCTTTTAAACAAAGCTTGCATTTTTTGCCAACAGTAGTCTAAGAAAATATAAAATGGAAGAATTTACTTTACAGTGTGAATAAACCATGTGGGAAAACTGTTACTCACATTTTATAGCAGGAAGACCGCAATATGGAGAGATCACCAATTCCCCAAGATCACATGGGAATTCAGTAGCAGAGCTAGGAAATTAATCCAGCTATCTTGTACTTCAGCGTGTTTTAAGCACAGTGCAGTCCTTCATGCTTGCAGACTCATCTCCTGATCTATGTAGCTTCTGAGCAGGGAAGTAAAATCAACTGTGTTCAAATACCAGATGTACACAACAATATTTCATTTTCAATGAAAGGGGATTGGATTTGGATACATTCAGGCAGAAGGTTTGTGCCACTTCAGAAATCTTTAATTTAATCAGTTTTTCATGGTTTAGCAATCTCACTGTTGCCTAAGTGCCAGATTACTCAAGCTGTTTCACAAACGGATTTCTCAAGAATTCTGATTACTTTTTTTTCTCAAAACAAACTGTTCAGGCTGTTGGTTTGTTTACTTGACACAACACGATGGGCCAATTTACATCCCGTCTGGCTTGCCCCTCCTTTGGGAAAGGAAGTACTTAATCTATAGAGCCTGCAGAAGAAAGAAAGCCTTCAGCAGTCTTACTGGCCACTTTTGTACACTTGTGTTGTAAAATCAAACTAATAGCATTTGTTGCTTTGCCTCTCTGGGGAGGGTCAGAACACGGACTGTTAAAATAAGCCACAGGGGGATGAATATACATAGGCTTTGCACGTATTTCAGCACATAGTATATCCAAACTAGTCACATTTCTTCAGATCAATTTCAAGCACACTGAAATGACCTTTTTAAAAATCTTTCAAGGCACATGACAACATGAATAAGGAAGTGGACTCGAATTCTTCATTCGACTGGCCTCACGTGCTGAATTATAACGGGACATACAAGTACCTATACTTAGAAAGCAACGTCTCCTATGTGGACTTCTACCTTCATCAGCCTTCAGTGGCAGCTGTCTTCATCGTCTCTTACCTCCTAATCTTCCTGCTCTGTATGGTTGGCAACGGGGTGGTTTGCTTTATTGTCCTGAGGAGCAAACATATGCGTACAGTCACAAACCTTTTCATCTTAAACCTGGCTGTCAGCGATTTACTGGTGGGAATCTTCTGCATGCCCACCACCCTCCTGGACAACATCATTGCAGGTAGGCTGGTTGGCACCACGCGGCAGGAGGAGCTCGAGGGGGACTCACCTGCATTTCTGCCCAGGGGCCCTGAGAGCTGGGTGTGAATTTTTGAGTGGGCTCTATAGGCATTTCAAGTCACTGGAAGTCAGAGGTGAGGAAGACAAGCCTCTAACCCACCTCCTGACTGGGGCTGTCCTTGCTGACTTCCACGTCCCTGGTCTTTGAGAAGGGATTCTCCCACTACCAGGTTATATGTTTAGGAAGGCTTGGCAGATGCTATGAGCCAGATGCTGAGAACCATCAACTGTAGTGGTAGGTTCCCTTTCTTGTCTTGAGATCTCGTTTTAATGGGATGTTAAACTACAAATGTTTCCTTGCTGTTTTTCGGCACACCAGAAGCTCACCCAAGGCGTTTGGCAAAGCATTTGTTTACACAACTGCTGCCTCCCTAACCCCTGCTATGGCCTGACCGAGCAAAAGAAATTATGAGCTTTGGGTGGAAATTTCCTCTTATGCGTATAAGCATACTGCTGCAGTGAGATGGCAGCAATTCCAGTTGCCTGTTTCTTTCCAGGATGGCCTTTTGGGAGCCTGGTTTGCAAGATGAGCGGGATGGTCCAAGGAATCTCTGTTTCTGCCTCTGTCTTCACTCTAGTTGCTATTGCCGTAGACAGGTAAGATGATGCAGAGGCTGTAAACTGTCGCCTTTCATTCCCCTCTGGCCACCTGAGCCTGCTGAGGCTGATTTGTTAATCCACACAACAGTGCGATAAATCAGATGTAGTTTACTCCTAAGGTGATTAAGCAAAACAAAACATGGCCAGGTCTAAAGAGCAGCCATAGCCATCTGCTCCTCCACAGGGTATCTCTTAAAGATGGTACAGCTGGGCTACACCTGGCTGCCTAGAACTGGTTTGTTCCTTAGCTATTAAGCTAGATACCTGAGGCACTAATACCTGCTTTGGTTAAATGAAGTAGCAGAAGCAGCAGGCTGATATGGAGACAGATCAAAACGAGGAAATTTTAACAGCAAACGTGACTGTTTTTTTAAAGTTGTTTTTACCAACACAGCTCTTAAATAGAGCAACAAAATGCAAATGTACTGGTTTATGCAGGATGAGGAGATGATCCCATCTTGACTTTTAAAAAGCATACAATTTAAATTGTGCGTGTACGCCTGTCTGTTTGATTAAGCATTCCCTAAATGGCTTCTCCACATGTGTCCCCGGGTGTCTGCCACAGGTTTCGATGCATTGTTCATCCGTTTAAGCAGAAGCTGACCATTTCAACTGCAGTCGCCATTATAGCAGTCATCTGGATTCTGGCTGTCACCATCATGTGTCCGTCCGCTGTCATGCTGCAGGTACAAGAAGAGAAGCATTTCAGGGTCATCCTTGGCGATGGCAACAAAACCCGCCCTGTCTACTGGTGCCGGGAGGACTGGCCTAACCCAGGAATGAGAAAGATCTATACGACAGTTCTGTTTGCCAACATCTATCTGGCTCCTCTGTCGCTCATTGTTATCATGTATGCTAGGATAAGCATCGCTCTCTTCAATACAGCAATGCCTGTGGTGGGAAAACACAGCCAGAAGCAGCGGCATGGTGTGTCTAAGAAAAAACAAAAGGTCATCAAAATGCTCATTGTTGTGGCTTTGCTGTTCACCCTGTCCTGGCTTCCCCTGTGGACTCTGATGATGCTCTCAGACTACGCCAACCTTTCAGATATCCAGTTGCAGATCATCAACATTTATATCTACCCCTTTGCTCACTGGCTGGCTTTTTTCAACAGCAGTGTCAACCCCATCATCTACGGTTTCTTTAACGAAAACTTTCGCCGAGGCTTTCAGGCAGCCTTTAAGCTTCAGCTCTGCTATAGGGAAATTGTTCACAGGGAGGTCTATTCTCAGCGAGGCCAAAGCAATGCTATTTTGCCAGCTGCCAACTACCAGACACCCCAGGATCAAGCTTGTCAAAATGCTAAGGGGGAGGGGAGGATGGTTAAGAAAGGAAATTGGGTGAATAACCAGCAGGATTTGATAATGGAAGACCTAGAAGAGCCCTGCAATGATGGGATTAAGTGAAACATGCTATGAACTACCTAAATGATTTATGCCCAGCAGAGTTTATTTACTGTGTTGTGAAACTTGTGCTCTGTAAGCCCTTTCTGACAAAAATGTCAAAATGTTTCTGTTTTGAGGGAGATACACAACTTGCATAATATCTGATCATCTCATATAAGTAGGAAATCAAATTCAGCCCTTTGTGTTACCAGCTTAAACCAGTGGCAACTCCCCTGCAGTCAGTGATGACTCACCGGTCTTGAACTGGGCTGGAGCAAAAATGTGATTAAAATGGGATTACCTTCTATTTATTATGACATAAGAGACTAGGAGAACTATGATACAATTACTCCAGCTACTCACTGATGCGGAGGAGAACATTCATTCATTTTCTTCTGTGAATCTCTCAGAGCAGTGAAAATAGGGTTGTTCGAACAATATTTATGGTAATGTTTCAGCGTGTAAGGCTAGTTGTTGTTAATACCTACAATTTTCTTCTGGTCTTGGAAAACAAAACCACCCCTTTAGTTTGTAGCATCCAGCTAGACTGTGAAGCTGGACAAAGGAAGGACTCCCATGACTTGCCGCGGCCCTGAGCAATGCCCCCTCCTTGGGGTTTCACTGCTGGGGCTTGAGGCAGCTCTGAGCCAGTGCAGCCAAGGGTGTCCCCCTTGTTACATTAAGAAATAATTTTATCTGTAGACCAAAATACCTACTAATGAGATTGATAAAAAAGTCCACCGCTAAAGACAAGACAAATCCAGTGAGCCCACTTCTTGATTTAACATAAATTTCTCTTTGTTCAGCGATGGGTCCTTGGCACTACTCTTTTGGCTGCTTCTGTGAAGCATAAGCTTGTTCCTTGAACTTGTCAATCCATTATTCTATAACTCCTATTAACTGAAATATTGAAGATAGAGTCTGAATATTTGACCTGAGATCACCGGTCCCTGGGTCGTCTTGTGGTTGTACTCATATTGCTTCTGTCTGGACATTTTGAATGCCAACCGGTTCCTACCTAAATGACAAAAAATAAGCATCTTCAGTCACATTCCATTTATTCCCCTTTCGGGTTGCCCCTCTTGATAATTCTGTCATATTAATTATTGTTGCAGCTAGAGAAATAAAAAGGAATGAAAATTTGACAAATAAAGGATAAAAAATGGCTTTTGTGGTACATTATTTTTGGGAAAAGTCTGTTTTTGGGGGTGATATAAGTCACCTAAAACTACTGCAATTTCAATACCAGCAGGAGATAAACCACCTTTACAGTCTGTTCAATCTGACAGAACTGAACATGTAGAGAGCAACCTTGGAAGCATCTCACAGAGGCTCCCAAAATCAGTGAGGAATGCAGGTCAGTGCAAGGTCCACACAGATCTGGTACAGGATTAGAGCATCACTGTCTGCTCTCCTATGAGGGTCTACAGGGGCCAGATTCCAGGTAAGGTCATTCCCCAGTGCAGTCCTTCAAGTAAATCAGAGTACCTTTCAGATTGTAACATTTCAAGCTGTGTTGTCCCAAACTATGCTCCTTTCTGAATACCAGAAAATAAGGAAAACATCTGGGGAGTAATGGGAAGAAAAGCTGCCAGAACAGCTCTGATTTTTCAAATGTTTTTTTGCCTCCCTTGTGATGCAGCCTGCCCCTGCTCCTCCCTGTGTGACAAAGGAAAAGGAAACAGTTTACATATAAACTCTGTTGAGAAGAGCCTGCATTTTACAGTGCTTTCTGTTTACATTATTGAACTACAGAACAGTGGTATGGAGGAAACCACTTTAAATTGGCAATTCTGGACACTGACTCAGAAACTGTATTCAAAACTTATCGGTTGTTCATTCTCAGTGGAAGAGGCTTCAATTTGTGTTCACAGAAAGGTCTGTCTAAGGTCAAATCTACTAAAATATTTTTACAGGTTACACTGATCATGAAAAATATCCTATTCACTATAGAAGTGGTTTAGTTCTGAAATCATTTGACAGTTTATAAGAGGAAGCAATGAAAAATATTTTAAACAACGCAAGCTTTAGGAGATGGTACAGTGTTCCTGCTCAAAGACAGGAATTGTCCAAAACCAGCAAAGATTAGGTGTTGCAAGGAAGATGGCCAAACAAAATGTAAAAATCCAAAATGGGGTTACTCTGTATAACAATATTACCAAAATAGATCTGGGGGTTTTGCTGGGCTAAAGTGGAGAGCAGTGACAAGGTAGTAACAGTGATGGTGTTGGCAAAAAGAAAGGCTAATATTAACAGTTGGGAATATTATCAGGACAGTCATTCTACTCCTTTCAGCACCAGTACGATTTGAGTTGGGCACTGCAATTTCAGAAAGCTGAGAACAGACTTGAGTCTAAAAGACAGCAACAGGGAGGAGAAGAGGCTTGGAGAACATCACTGCAAGGGAAGTCTTTATCCATGGAAAAATCTTCATCAAAGAGAAGGTGGGAGATGGGTGAAGAACAAAATGCAGCATTCTTCCAATATTTAAAGATTCTTGTAGAGGAAGTAGCAAACAATTACCTTTTCTTTGCATGGGGGGTACATAACGATGGAATGTATTTAAATATGGAACAGTTTAAACATGGTTCAGATCTAGACCTGATTGATTCGAAAAATCTATAAATCCTTTATTGAATCCCGTCTTCCCCAAAAAACAACCAAAACAAAAAAACCCCAAGCAGATAAAAAAAGTACATCTACTTCATAGAGGGGCAATAGTTCAAGCAAAAATGACACTATCAGCTTTCAAGACCAGGGTAAACCCTGTTGGGTTTTTTTTCTTTTTTTTTTTTTTTAAGAAAAGAGGGTCTGGAAATGGAGCAGCTGAGCTAAACCTAAATTTCTGCCCACACACACAGAGCTGTATCACAAGAGGCAGGAAGCTGAGACTAGTCTAAATGAACGTGTACATGTGTACACACTCGGAGCCTAGTGCCCAAGCCGGGCAGGTATGGAGGGGCAAACCTGCCCTTGCTCAGGTGGGAGAAGCTGGTGGTTTTGGAACTGATGGCTTTTAACTCTCCTGTTAGTAGCGACTCACCTCTGTCGGGACATAAACTGCAATATGAAGGCAGAATGAAGAATAAAGAGTGGGAAACAATGCAGAAGGTAAGACAGGTTATCTGACATTAAGGATAAAGAAGGGAAGTGGTTTCTGAGAGACAATTTTTTGCAGAAGAAAGGCATCTGGCAGCTGTTCATGTTTACAAAGAGCAAAAAAAAGACCTTGGCAACAGGAAAGAGGCACAAGAGATTGGGCCGGAAGCCTTGAGATGACAAGAAGATATTTGAACACAAGATCCAAAAGCAACCCATGTATAATATATTTCTCCCTTCACCCTTCACCTCTCTCAGGGCAATTATTTTGTTTGTTATTGCAATTTCTCAACATTCAAATGAAGAACTGGTGTCAGTAGGTTTACTAATAGTTTTGATACCATATAAGAGAAAACTAAGCAAGATTGAACTGTACCTACTGGGTCAAACCTAACTGATTCTTCATGGTCCATTAGCTCATGGAAAATAAAGTTACTTCCTGCCTAAAGCCTCGATTCTGCAGGGCAGACAACACAGCATATACTGTAGAATATTGAAGTCCTAAATTCCATCAAAAATGTGAATGATTTCCTGCCACATAGCAGACTAACTTAGAAAACTGCTCAAATCAAACAAGATGGAGAAGAAACCTCTTTGCACCCACTAAAGACACTGCTCTGGAACTGCCAAGTTCTGGGTCCTGCAAACATGAACTCTTTATAACTTCAGTGACATGAATCATGCTGGAGAAGTCCACGCTCATGACAGTGCACCCACCAGGATTTTTTCAAGTGATAAAAATGTTTAAGTGCTTTGTTCCTCGGTGTCCTGATTTGGGCTGGAATAGAGTTAATGTTTCTTCTTAGTAGCTAGAATAGTGCCATGTTTTGGATTCGGAATGGGGTTTGGTATGAGAAGAATGCTGATAACACACTGATGTTTTCAGTTGTTGCTGAGATTTCAAGGACTCTCCAACTCCCCATGTCCTGCCCATGTGCACATGCACAAGAAGCAGAGAGGGAGCACAGCCAGAACACTGGATCCAAATTGGACAATTAAATATTCCATATCATGTTTTTACCTCAACCTGAGAGTCTCCCTTTGCTCCTCGAATTCCCTCCCCCTTTCCCAGGCAGGGGAGGGTGAATGAGTGGTTGCGTGGTGTTTGGCTGCTGACTGGGTTCAAACCACGACACAGCCATTGCTTTGAGACTCTCAGCAGGCTCCAGAATTGTGGAGGCAGCCAAGCCACAAGTCAGTTTTGAAAATCTTGGCATAAATTCACAACCATTGACCTTCACGGGAACACAAGTCCAGTGTCACTGTCACTGAAGCCAGAAGAGTTCTGCTATGCCACTTCTGCACTGTCAGGATTGCAAATCTATAACCAGTTATATTATCCCTCCTCCTCGCCCTCTTCAGCAAGAGCAAACTGGTTCTGTGTTATTGTATTTCCTGCAGTTATCACCCAAACCCCCAGGCACACACATCTTCAGAAGGCTCCTCTGATGCAGAAAATTTCTTTATTTCAGCATTCCTCTAGCAGACTATTAATTTAACGAGTTCCCTGTTCATCAGTGTCCCAAACACCACTATGGTAATAAGCGATTGACTGCCATGTTGTAGCAGAATCCTCCTGGCCTATTTTCCCCTTCAGATCTTTTCTTTTTTTTTTACTGTGGCTATGCTACTGCCCTTACCTACAGCCTCCAGGTTGATTGAGATGTAAAACTATTTGTGAACTGCTCCTCGGAAAAGGAACCAATATGGAAAAGGCACTCAGCCTCCCCCCATCCTGCTGTAGGGTCACAGCAAGGCTTGCAGGTCCTCGGCCCCGCTGAGTGTGTTGGTGCCAATGCCTTACACGGGTACTCGTATGGTATTTGCAAAGATGAGGAGAACCAAGCCAACAGCTTTTGTGAGAATAAAAATGCTGGTCTGCCTCCTTCCATATTTTGAATGCTAATTATAAAAATCACTCTGTCTCAAGAGGAAGGAAATAAGTCCCAAGTCACTGGGAACAGATACGCACCTATCAACACACAGCTCCTCTGATGAACAAGGCATGGAAGTAACAGCAATATTTGTATTTCTCTAACCTCCCGCTTTCTCACCACAGTATATTTTAGACTTGGCACCAGGCAAGCTTCATTTTTCAGGAATGAACTGATATATTTCTTATATCAGCTTTGACTAAAGTGAACTGAACACTATATACATTCTGGCATTATACTCTGGTCTGAATTTGCAGCAGCAGCTGACAACCAGAAAGAACTGCCTAAAAACTATTGGCCCCACCAGAGGCAAGGAGCTTTCTTAGAGTCTTCAGTCTCAAAGATGACCATAGACATGTTTTCTGTGAAAGGAAAGAATAAAAAAAGGAAGAAAGAGGAAGAACAATTTCTATGTATTCATAGTTTTAATAAAGACATTTTTGAAAGCCAGGGAGCATATGTGGTTTGCCCACACTATAAAAATTCCTGTGCTGTGATTTAATAAACAGTTTTCAAATGCTGAGGTTTCCAACAGCTGCCAGGGCCCACAGATAGAATCCATGGCTGATTCAGGAATTGTAGCAACAGCAACCACCTCCCAAAAATACAAATTATTTGGGTGTCACCAGACATCCAATGGCATGATACATATCCCTCTCTCACTCAGTACTACCTTGAAATAGTTCACGTTTGCTAATGGTTCCCCCGAGCTTTGATTTCATCACCAGCTCCCACGCAACCCCACTTCTGCGCTCCTCCTGCCCTCTGGGTACGCTGTAGCAGGGGCTGGCTGAGGTGGAGCAGGGAGTTCAGCAGAGGAGCAGCACCCTGTGTGTCCCCACCATGTCTCACTCCCAAATCTTTGCTCTACAACAAGGGTCTTCCAGACTTTCAGACAGGGACTGTCATGGTCAAGACAAACCTTTAGAAGAGCTGGGGGAGACTTGCCCTTTCTGAAGACAGAGAAGCAGCCTCCAGTTAGGTATTTTTGCTCTGATCTGTTAGACGATGCTTACAGGTGTTAGAAACCTGGTAACTGCTATCAGTCATACCTGGCTATTCCATTAACAAGA